ATACAGTGTATCTGGTGAGGGAATACAGTGCATCTGACAAGGGGATACAGAGCATCGGCTCAGCGAAGACAGCGTGTCTGATCAGGGAATGCAGTGGATCTGACGAGGGAATACAGCATATATATATATCTGATCAGGGAATGAATTGAATCGGACGCGAGGGTACCGTGAATCTGACGAGGATATGGCTCAAAACCACGTATCTGCTCCACCGACCTTTGAGCCATGAGTCCCCGTGGGTGAGAGTTGCTCATCACCCACTGGTCCAATCGGGGTGCGGGATGGCTTGTATGACAATGCAAGTCTTAGCAGGACAAACGATGCCATGTGAATGGAGTTTGGCCTGGTGGAGCAGTTAAGCTCCACCGGCCCTTGAGCCGCTTAGCCCCCGTGGGTGGACGTTTCTCTGAATCCACTGGTCGGATCGGCGTGCCTGATGGCCTCTGTATGATAGCTTTGGAACACGTGCCAACACAATGAAAGTCGTCGTAGAGCAAGCAGCACCCTTTTGAAAGAGTTTGGCCTAGTGGAGCAGTTAAGCTTCTGTGCTCCATCGGCCGTTGAGTCACTGAGCCCCAGCGGGCGGGCGTTTCTCTGCACCCACTGATCCGATCGGGGTGCATGATGGCTTGAATGATAGCTGTGAGCCGTGCCAACACAGTGCTGGCAGAGGTAGGTGTGGTTCCGCTATGCTGCGGGAGATATACCGAGACAATTGGCATTTACCTCCCCCCTCTAGAGTCTCCCCCCCCGGTGTTTGCCATCGGGGTTGGGCTTTCGTCGCTTGGCAGCGATATTGTAAAACAAGCCGATCACTTTGTGAGCTCGGCAACCAGTTTGTGTCCATTTTTTATTTTTTTTGCCTTTTTATTTTTTTCTCGGTATGAATGGTGGTCGAGTAGATTATGTTGTGCGGGTCGAGAACCCTGACTCCGCGCAAGGGGAATAATCGCATCACGTTGTGTTGAATTGGTCAAGCATCCTCGAGGCAGTTACACAGTGCTTATAACTGAAGGCACCAGAAAATAAAGTAAGTCATACGTAGCTGTTATCCGTACCCAAGGAAGTACGCACAATATGCCTAACACCCTTAGCAGGATGCAATGTACCCTTCATGCGACTCGCCGAATACCTCACGGCGCTTTGCGCTTGGTGATGTGAGAGCCTGGTTCGGTGAGAACCCGGCGTGCTCCGTCTCGGCTTTGTAGGGATGCGAGGTCAATGGTCTAACGACTACGGCATGCACGACTATGAGTACACCCCTAGATACTGCGGAACCCCCTTTGCTGACCATGTCTCTGCGGGAACATATTTGATGGGAGTGCGCGATAGCTCGGAAGAACGCTATGGATCCTGCGGACACGACGAAAAAGGTTTGAGGGCAATGAACGCTGTGTGGACGGTGGTTCTAGGCGATTGCTGCTTCCTGACATTCTGCGGAGCCCCCCCCTTTCAGTATATCTCTTCAGCCACCGGTCGCATTTAGCTTTTTTCAATTAGCATTGCAGAAAGTTGTAGTCCATAGCTACACGATGCAATTGGTTTGAGGTCGATTGGAGCTCTGTGAGTGGAGATCTGCCTGGTGGTGCAAATAAGAGGTTACTCCACCGGTGGAGCAAATAGCGTTGATTAAATACTGCAGATAGAAATCAATCAGGGAAACATTTCGCTCCTCTTCTCTCTTGGTGTATTTCGAGAAGCACACATGGACGAGTTACACCCCGTTTATTGCAGCAGATCCGCCAGGATTAAAGGAAAATTCGCGTTCTTTCGATCTTGATGAAAATGAATGTAAGGTGAGATAGTGACCAGAAACAGGGTTTCTGGTAAGGAATTTCATAGGGCCCCATTATCCCTATGAAAATTTCCGGACGTCCCTGGTTCAGTACGTTGCAGGGAAGATGGTAATGCTGCACCAGCAGAATGTTGTGGCCGCTTGTTTGCGGCCACAACGCTATTTTCCATTTGAAAAATTACCAATTCTTCGAGGAGTAGATGGCTTTCCCGCGAACTCAGTTTTGGCTAACCACTGGCCTACTATTATACTGTAACTATGCATACACAAACTAGCATGTTTGGGCCAAAGTACGCTAAGAATTGCAAAAACACTATTCCGTGGTAAGTCCGCATGGATGGTTTTGTGTATGTCTGCGTAGATTTCTATCTACACCATGGCCGGCCTACGGACAGCCCTTGCGTGCGTGGGTGCCCACGACCCTAGCCAGACCGTGGGCAGCCCATCATCATGGACATGTTGTTGGCCCATGATTGCCGGTTGCTTCATTGCGCGAGTCGGCTGCCAATGGGCTGTGCCCAATACGGGGCACTGGGCACCGCCCGTGGGTAACGAAGGTGCCAATGGGTACCCATAGACAGCCCATGGTTAAACCCATGATGGGCAATGGCGTAAGTGCCCACCATGGGCTGCCCATGGGCTGCCCACGATAGGCACGTGCCCACCATGGTGGGCAGGGGCTGCCCAGAGGTCACGTGAGTGCTCACCATGGGCCGCCCATGGGCGGGCCATTGCTCTGCCCATGGGCGGCCCATGGGCAGCTCATGACGAGCATGCTCATGCTAAGCCCATGATGGGCATTTCATGGACCGCCCATAGGCAGTCCATGGGTCACCCATGGGTAGCCCAAGAAATGCCCATGGGCACTTCATGGGCTAATGGGCCGCCCTTGGGTTATTTCAGAAAAATGCAGTAGTGTGGGAGACTGCACAGGTTTTGCTTGTGCTTCGATTTTTTCGAACATACTGCGTCCGTGCACATCTCACGGAACTGCAAGTTTGTTTGTCTCCTTAATCCTCGGCAATTTTCCAACCCCCCCCCGTGGAATGAATGTTGACCTTGCGAATGAATGAACGCAGGAGTCTCTGGAGGTGCCGAGAAATTGTTTTTTGGTTGCTGCTCGACGTGGTTGGTTGGAGCGCATGGAGCTCGGGGCCGCGGCGAGGAGAAAACGTATTCGGGGGGGGGGGAGGGGGGGGGTTGCCGCAAAACAATCGTCCATGC